TGAATTTGCAAAATATCAAATACATGTACCTGCACACTTGGTTTTATACAAAATTAGTTCAGTCTCATTTAATAATGCAGCGTTGAACGTCCAATTCTTTACTTTCATACCCTGTAAAAAGTGACAAAACTATTTGAAGATCTTTCAGTAGTATAAGATCGTGCTATAAAAGCGTAAATCATATTATTCAAGTACTCTCCAATATGGGTAAAACTTAACTCTAACAATTAAGTACACAACTACAAAACAGAGGAATAGATTCGTAAACCCGTGAACAAGAAGTGCCTATTGTTCAGCGAATTGTTACTATATATCGCTCAATCGTTCCGTCTTTCACACGTTTCCCTTCGCACGCGATATATACGCATACTTTAAACGTGTTGCGGTTTCAATTTTAGCATTCTTTATTGTAGTGGTCAGATATTTTTATTTCTATTGATGTTATTTTATTTCTATTCTTCCGTATCGTTCTATATATTTTTTTATTGATGTTATTGTATTTCTATTCTTCTGTATCGTTCTATATATTTTTTTTATTCATAGAGCATTGACTACAGAGTGATGACTCTGATCTTAAAATGGTAACAAATACATAATTAAAAAAATTAAAACCTAATGTATAAATAAATTAATAATGAATACGTGTAAAAACTGCAACTACAAAAACCCGCCATTTGTTTTCTTTTATTATATTAACTCTTTAAATTACCTAACAGAACAGAACCCTTTCAGTCCTCGTTGTGCCTTGCAGTACGCCCTATATTAATATTTTACCAGTTTAGGTTTATAAGTTTGATATATAAAAATTATCACAGGTAGTTATTTTCCTTATTGTCGACGCAATCTAGAGCTGTAAGAGCCTCTCATCGCGAGCAGTAGATCCCCGCCTTTTCTCACGTATGCGTGATTCGGAACGTGTTTGCGACGACATTGTCGCATGACAGTGAACTTATTTTTCGTATATGCTATATAAAAAAAAACAATTATTTATAGACGTTGATAATTGTATCGATAAAAGGTATTATTAAAATCAATTACGCAAAAATTGCGGCTCTAGTTTTAGGCAGTTATTCCCTCGGCCAAGTAAATTCTAATTAACAGTTTTAATTTGAGCTTGACACTTTTATTGTGGGTTTAGTTTAAGTACGCATGTAGATATTTATAGCTTATTTCATTACATACTGCTCTCTTATCCCAAACAATAATATTGATAAGATTATTTAATGACAGTGCCAGTGCGTTATCAAAATTATTGTGAAATAAGTTTTTAATGACAAAACCTTTGCGAGGATAATTAATTTCCGATAATTCACGACTTTTAATGCTGTCTTGATTTCAACGTACTAAGTAAATATAATTTATACTTTATCTTTGTACCTAGAATGTTATTTAAGACTTGCAACCTCTTGCATGACTATCGTTAAAACAAACAACATTTTTTTTGACACAAATAAAGTTCCTCATTCAAACCTAAATTCTTGATTTGTTAAGTTTAAAAAATATATCCGAATTTCCAAAATAAGAATAAAATGGTGTTTCGATTTATTGATAGTAGTAGTAGTAGTGCTAAAATTTGATTTCATAAGAAAATAACCCGGTATGCTTACGTATAAATATATACAGGGAAATGTGATTGCATCATAAGGGCCCTTGTACGATACGATACCATATAATTATCCGATCTGGAAACGTAACACCAGGAATTATTAGAATACCAAGGTTTAAAGACATACGTTTCGAGATATTTGGGGTAAGTGTGGCGTGGTGATCACCGTCACGTGTGGTAAAGGAGTCCTTCCACTTTCCGCATATTTATTGCCTTTGCGCTTACGATAAAATGAGTAAAGGCGCATTGTAAACGCTTCGACCTTGCAATCAGCTGATTTCTACGTCAAACGAACTAACAGTTCTGATTTTCATAGAAGTTATACGTTGAACCGCGGGTATTTCGATTCGTTACAATTGTGCAATTGACCTCGGCTGCTGACCAACTGATTTCAAATCGACGAGGAAAAACAATAGGGATTTCGTGCGGTGCCACCCGCCGCTGCGAGGTCACCGCGTACGGCACGCTCGACCACCGCGCCATGACAATGACACTGACAGCTTTTACATAATATGTGCCTTTTTAAAATATGTAAATATGTTAACGAACGTTGTTTCCGAAATAAGCAAAATCAAAAGTTTGCGAACGAAATGACTGATTGATCGACACTTAATTAAATTTATGTTACGTACTAGGTCAAGGTCGTTCAGTTTGTTAAAGCATAGATTATGTTGCCAGACTTAATTGAACGTTTTGCAATCTGAGGAGTATTCATCATTAGTGTAATATTTCACTAGGTTGAAAACTCTGTCTGTAATTTATATTAGCCTGTAATATTTTAATTTAATATTTACGGGTACATTTAAATAGTCTCGCAATATTAATTTCTAACAGGATATATAAAATCTCAAAGATCTAAGTTATTTTTATGATATCTTGCAATGTCTAACCTTGTAAAGAATCTGAAAGTTTAAGTTTTACGAGTAGATACGGCTTTCAAGTCGTTGTCATTTAGATCTGAATAAAGTTTCTGTTAGTTTCCTATTATACTGTTTGAGACATTCAATTAGACTGTATTGTTTTAAATTTAATGTAATTTAACTAAACGTCTGAAGCAGAAATGGAAAACTTAACGTCTAGTTCAATTTAAACAAAACCGCAGAGTATTAATTTTCTTTTTTCTTATTTCTGAAGCTAGATTATGCTTTGCAATAATATGAAATCAATCATCGATCATATGATATAAATTAACTTTGATAGTTTTATGTTGAGCCTCAAAACTAAGACAAATAAGCATTAATTTAGATTCTTATTTTTAAAACTAAGTGAATGTTGATTATATTTATACTAATATTATATTAATTATAGTATAATTTCTGCTTCTGGCGCTCGCCGGCCGCTGCCGTGCCACGCTCGCTTCACTAGCTCAGCTCGTGCTGCTTTTTCATAGTATATGAATTTAACCTAACCTACTCAGCGGGGGGCGCAACGAAGCAACCAAGATTTATTAAGAGATCAATATCAAACTGGTTTTAAATGTCGTCAACCTATAAAAGAAAAGACCAATGATAAAAAGAGGAGCAAATATTATTTTTTAATACCAAATATTAATTTAGTATCATCATCATCATCATCATTTCAGCCAAAAGACGCCCACTGCTGAAGAGAGGCCTCCCCCAAAGAAGGCCACAACGATCATTTAGTATGCTTAAATATAATGATAGTGTTACCTTAAATGCAGTTCATTTATAATTTATCCGCAAATTAACTAATATATATATGGAACAATTAATATATTTTACTTTTTAATTATATATATCAAACTTTAAAAAAATCGTTTATTTAAAAAAGTGCACATTTATAATAGATGAATTATATCTTTGAGGATCAAATATAATATTATCCAATAAATAATTGGTATTTGTTATCACTCTTACTATCCAAGCGCAACCCATGTCATACGAACATAAAGTATTGACTATTATTTTCGCTATGGTTATTGTCATTTTTTCATTCGTCTCTTACACTTATCACCCCGTTATTCACTTCCTTCCCATACACAACATTTTTCATGATTAACCCGTCTTTTCTTTGATCCTCTACACTTAAAGTTATCAACATCTAACATCTACAAAGCCAAATACTGACCGTACTTGATACAGTTTTAACAACTTTTCATACCAGTCTCGGTAAAAGGTGAACAAGTCATATACCGAGTCTTTATATGTAGTTATCTAGCATTGCCAGTGGTTCCGGGCAGATAGTTAGGCCTTTCGAGATTGAAAGTGTCCTAGTGTATAAAATTTAGTGCTTTTAAATGATGTTGTCTAATGTTATGCGAAGACGTCGTTCCGGGATCTATTAGATCTATTGTACACCTACTTCTTAATTCCTGACAAGTGTGTGGGATATATGATCCAAATTGTGACTATCTGTATCTATTTAAAGCAAGTCTATTATTGATTATTGTTACTAACTCAGCATTCGAATTATGACTAAAGGGTATCAAATTGAGATATCGTATAAATACAATTATACGATTGATAAAGCAACACTTTGTTAATTGCCAAAGTATTGTAAAAACTTCAGTTTGCATCTTTCTTTAAACGACACCTTTACAAACACGATCATGCCTGGTATACCACATACCTCCCATACATTTTAGGCCCACAGAGCACAAGGTTTGTCTAGAATTCATCAGCGTTAACAGAACAATGTTCTTGATTTCCTTGACGTATCTAAAAACCTTTTGAAACCTACTTGATCAAACTCTACAATAGAAAATAGTTATTGTGATAGACGCATCGAACAATAGAATATTGTCAAACCTTTAAATTTCCGTTGCTGTTTTTGTTAATCCTAGCTCACAAATAAAATACTTACAAATATTTACTTTTAAATTTTTGGAAAGACGTTATACTAGGTCCTTTCGTTCAGTGTTTTTATGATTGGAAAGATCGTTAACTCGGACATTAAAGTCAAGGCACTTGCCTTTGCGAATTTAGGAATTTGCTTTACAAATTTATTATGAGCACTTAATCTTTGTTGATTTTTTCTGTCCGAACGTGTCCCGCAAGGCCTTGATGGATTGCCCGTATTTGTCTTCTATTTTATCACTTAAAACTGACGTCATTTTGAACAATAGACTTTACACGCGAACATTTCTAGGAAATTTACAAAGTACGATTTTTCTTTATCTATTATTTCGGTACGGCCTATTAATAATCATTCCGTTGTAATACAATGGTTTTAACAATGTTAGATGCGAAGTCAAATAAATTATAATATAATAAATAGGCTGTTTTATACTAAATATCAGTTTACGGCTTGCTTACTTCAAGATGGATGCCAATTCCACAATATAAGTTTATATCTGTATGTTTCAAAATGCTTGGTATTTATATACTTGGTATATGAAAACAAGGAATTTAATATGATTCATTTGTTGTTACAGAGCGAGTCGAGCTATTCGCCATCGGAGGATGGATGCGGCGAGCGGCATGCTGTGCTGTCGTATGAGCAGGTGCGGCGACTTAACGACGTGATGGACGAGGTGGTGCCTATCCATGGGCGCGGCAACTTCCCCACACTGCACGTGCGTCTGCGCGAGCTGGTAGCGGGCGTGCGAGCGCGACTTGAGGCCGCTGTTAGCGTAGGCGGCGCGGGCGTAGTCGTGCGCGACGTGCGCCTAAATGGCGGCGCGGCCTCCCACGTGCTTGCTGACCGCCCTCAGCCATACTCTGATATCGATTTAATCTTCACGGCCGAGCTGCCTACAGCGCGTCACTGCGACCGCGTTAAGGCGGCCGTGCTTCAGCATCTTGCTACACTGTTGCCGCCGGCCACACCGCGCCGTCGAGCCAGCCCTGCCGGACTGAAAGAAGCGTATGTCACTAAGATGGTGCGCGTCAACTCTGATGGCGACCGCTGGTCACTAATATCGTTGGGCAATTCACGCGGGCACAAATCCGTAGAACTCAAGTTTGTCGACACGATGCGCCGTCAGTTCGAGTTTTCGGTAGACTCGTTCCAGATTGCCCTCGACTCTCTTCTCGCATTTCATGAGTGCGCGCAGTTACCGATCGGAGAGAACTTCTACCCAACTGTGGTCGGCGAGTCAGTATACGGCGATTTTCACGAGGCGTTGCAACACCTCTCTGAGAAGCTGATAGCGACGCGTCAGCCGGAAGAGATCCGCGGCGGCGGCCTTCTTAAATATTGCGCGCTGCTTGCCAAGGCATATCGACCGGCGCGACCAGATAAAATCAAAACGCTAGAGCGCTACATGTGCTCGCGGTTCTTTATTGACTTTCCCGAGCTCGGTCAGCAGCGCGCTAAGCTCGAGGCTTACCTACGGAATCACTTTGTGGGCCCCGAGGAGGAAGCACTCAAACACAGGTAAATGTCAACCATCACTTGAACGATGTTGAAACAAGAACGACTGAAAATTAGTGTCTGTCTCGCCCGAGATAGACATATTGCTAAGTCGTATCCTTTTTCTCTTTTACGCCACTATGCACACTTACTAACTTAAAATTACTCAGTCACTTGTTGTTTTAGTCTTAAGTATTAAAGTGTGTATGGTGTCTCAATTTAATGAATAAATTTTTCTTTCCTTCTTTCATTTTCGCAATCCTTTTAATGACTCTCAAAAGTTATTGTATTGTGGAATAACGAAAATCGTCAATTGCAGATACCTAACCCTGCTGCACGGCGTGGTGCGCGAGTCGACCGTGTGCCTGATGGGGCACGAACGACGGCAGACGCTGGCGTTGATCGAGGCGCTGGCGTGTCGCGAGTTGTGCGCACGTGCACCTCTGTTCTTGGCTCCACCGCCGCCACCACCCGGTTACTACGTGTGCGTGTGCGCGGCTTGCGCTGCATGTGCTGCGTGTGCCGCCGCCGCCAGCGCCGCAGCGCAGGTCTGCTGCGAATGCTGCCGTGGCGCGCTGCCGCCTATGCCCATGCCCGCGCACGCGCCGGCGTGACCACACTAGGCGCGCGACGCGGTCGCCGGCCGACAGGCGTGATTCTCCCCCTATCGATCGATGAATTTAGTGCCAAATGTATATAATACGAGTAAAAATATATGTATATATATGATTCGCTCTCCTAGGTGTGACTGTATATAGAGTTTCGCGGTCCGCTTCGTATTCTTGGCTGGATTATATTGTAATTTTAGTCGACAAAAAAAATATTAAAAGAGAAACGTCGAAGCGAAAAAAGACAGGCCGGTAGACTTAAGTTTCAAAGGCGCGTGCACGCCGCTGACAAACGCGTAGTGGAGACAATTCACTCGGTGTCAATTCGAGTTGCTCACTTTACCCAGATCAATTGTGGGTCGTCAATAGGCGCAGCGGGACAGTACACCGCAGCACCACCCATCGCCAATTATATTGAATAGGACGTTAGCTAGAGCCATAAGGAGCGTGCGATACGTCCAGGCGGAGCTCACTAGATCGATGCGTGGAATAATTTCTAGTCGTACTCCTTTCGTGTTGATAAGTTAATATGTTAGCAGTACGAAAATTATTATTCACGTTAAAAAGTTAGGGAGTAAGTCTGAGTCGATGGTCTGCCTATGAAAAAGACTAGTTAGTTACGTTTAAGCTTTTATTGTACTATAGAAATTGTCTCCATAAAATAGTGGCATGTCTCACAAGACAGAAGGAGGCGTAGGATGCGGAATGGGAACAGACTGCAATTGGAAAGATGTAGCACATGTCTGAAGTAATTAGAAAGTAGATAAAACAACTCCGGCCTTGTCCGATGGCCTTTACGCGAGAAATTCCGTTCTTTTATAGTTTTTATTGCGCCGTTGTGTAGCGCGCTGGCCACAGCCCTTGGCCAGGAGCGCCCAAAACGAATACATATTTTACTATAGAGTATTTTATATAACTTAAAGATGTACTGTGTATACAATTTTCCTCTCTCGTGATCGCTCTAGTATTGTATACGGCTTGGCGTACGAAGTAACAAACTAAGATTAAATATAAAACAAGAAAAAAAATAAAAAACAAAAAAAAAATTGTTAAACTAAGGTGTGTACAATATTAAAGTCACTCTTGTTAATTATAAATCATATATAAATATTTTAAGAACATTTACAAGTAGCGAAATCATTGTAACTGAGTACTTATGAATATGTTTTTTAACTCCTAACATCTCATCAATTACAGTTTGTATAAAAGCAGTAAATGTTATGACAAAATGTGATTTAATTGTTGTAGAGTTAACCTGTTGTCGAAGAATATTATACACTTACATAACATTATTATGTAGATTAAATCCAATAGAGAGATATACTATTACTGTTGTATTTTAATGAGATATAGCTATTATAAACGACCGTATAAACATTGTCCGGCCAAAATGTGCATGTTTTAGATATTTGCCAATGCATATTCAAGATAAACTATATTTATACAAAAGTATTGCATGGAAGTCTATTAGGGCTTGTACTAAACAATGTTGTTACGATATAGTCTATATTTTTGGTAGTTTGTATATCCGGAGTGATTAAGTACAATCCGTTTTTAGTTATCTTATACTTCGGAACAATTAACGAGTTTATTATGAACGAATTTCCGATTTGCTCACTGTCGAACCAAAATTTAAGATCTCATTTTTTTACTTTGTCTGACAATTTTACGGGAATTCAGAACTTTTTCCGAGTATCGTGGCTGCGCCTGTGGTTGTTTTTAAATACTACACAACTGCATTCCCACCACCCTAAATTTTACCACATGGTAAAATGCTACGTTTCATCCAACTTCTAAATTCTTGCCAGTAACTATGTCTCTAACTCTGATTTAAAGCTTACAGTATTTGCTGAAGAGCCAAAAACACTAATTATATTCTTAACTCTTACATAAATTATTATTTTTGTTACTGCAACATTTGTTTCTTGTAAGTAGTCATTATACGTTATGGATGAAACCACAAAACTTCAGATGGCCCTAGAACTAAAGTATATTTCGCAATCGTCTGTACTTAGATTTAAATGAAGTACATAATGTTAGCTGATCTTAACTATATTCCATTTCTAATAATAGTGAATGTAAGTTAATTATCACTAGTTCTACTTTCCACATCGAGGCAGGCGTCTAAATTGTGATTTGTAGTCTTTTCGACACTATTTTATTGTCATCTTTATTGTCTTGTAATTATTATAAATAACTGTGATTGTTATATCTATAATGTAGATCAGCTATTGGCAGAATTTAATATATACCTCCTCGCGTGGATTAAATGTTCGGTATTCGAATGTGTATATTTTGTGATTTTTCTTCGATATAACTGTATAGACTGAGAAATAAAGTGAGTAGACGAGTATTACAGTCACTACAGTATAATCATGTTGATTTGTTGCTGAGACAGAACTTGTCTATTTAATTAATTAGACGGAGATAACGCTTCATCGGCTAAGGTGTGTGTTGACTGGATCTTCTCCAAATAGTCAATTAATCATGGCGGATGAAACTATCTCCATACTTGTCTATTCAAGCTCTTCCAATCTGTACAACGTTTTTTGTGACCAATCGCTTCCAATTACGGTCTAAATAATATTAAAAATAATACAAGTGTTTCGGAAAGAAACAAGAGAGACATTGCAATGTAGTTTAGGGTTTTATTTTTCTAAAGTTACCATCAGTTTTCAGCTAGCCTTATTTTATAATGTTAAATTTTTTTTATATAGTATATTTTTTTCACTGGTCAGGGCGCTTGCGTGTTATGATTGGTTGTATTTCTATATGTATATATTGGAAGTGTAGCAGAGGATGTGGAGTGTTAAAGTAGAAATATACATTTTCTTTGTTCTAGTTGTCAACGTTAAAAATAGCACTAGCAAAGTTTATTGAGCCAAAAATTGCGGATATTTTAAAAACTAAAGTTAGTTTAAAGTAGCGTTTTGGAGTGAATAATTTTTCTGTACTTACCTAATGATAAAACGTTGTTCGAAGCAAGGTTCAAATTTATGCGTTTTAGAATAATCCAATCCAATTCAGTCTTAAATAATTTCAAGACTGAATCTCTTGAGGTAAACAAATTGGTTTACCTCAAGAAATTGCTTAGAAAAACAATAACGGGATTTCAAATGATGGTTTTACGAAACGCTGAACAGATCTGACTAATACTAAACATCATAATAGTAATGATGTTCTTTATAGTGGATGTTACTTTTGGCGGTGTTACGCAATCTTTCTCTAAATCTTTAAACTCTAAAAGTTTGAACACTGATAAAATTAAGCAGAAACACACAATTTTAATCGTAACATTAATTGTAATTTACAATTAAATTTAGCAAAAATTTTAACAAAACATCGACAGTTACAATGAACACTCAACTGTTACACAAGTAAAATCTTTTGTGTAAGTTTTTTAATGCATTTACAATAAATACAAAGTCCTATAATAATAGATTCAACTACGTATGCTTGTGTACATCTATAAATATGTACAATGTATTCATAGTATGAGAGTACATTGCATTAAAGAAAAAGAAAGAATGCTGTGTAAAACACAGTATGATGTGGAAATAACGGATACTTGAAGCATTTACTCTAGATAAAGATCTTTACATTATCCGTAGACGAGAGCCGATTTTGCTACAGCCAAGTGACGCTAACTAGAAGATAAATTGCACATAGAATTTGTCTTGCCAGTTAGTCTTAAAGTATTCAACTTGATCGTAGCAAATTAACTCTTTGAAAGTCATAATAGTATTTAATTTGTATAGTTATGTAAAACACGCAAGCGCCAAAATGAAAGCATGGTTTCAAAAACTCGATGGTTATGAGCAACAACTGTGTAGCAGTACGTAAAAGTAATTGAATTCTACAAAGTGTATAAATAAAATCAAATTAGTGTTAGTCCGTTGCATATGTTCCGTTAGGACACATATGGCGTAGCAGACCCATCTGTACTCGCAAACAACATTATGCATCCAAATGAAATACGTTTTCAATTGAAAATCGAATCTACTTATGTAAATGTGTCTTTATTTTCAAAGCATTTTAGTATTGTAACAGCTGATACTGTGCGTTGTTTTGACTATACTTTGGAATTTAATTATCGATTTTTTTCTATCAATGAAACAGAGACTTTTCAATATATAATTCAGGTAAATTGGAAAACCTTCCTTAACTACAAGACACGATAAGTAGACACGGAACAATTGTTAAATCGTACTTTAAACAGGACGTATCAATTTCTATGGGTTATACTACAATGAAGGAACATACGGTCTACTATGTTGGTGAATTTCAGTACCTATGATCAGGGCAGAAAAATAGCAAAGCGTAAAAATAGTAAAAATAGCAAAAATAGCGACCATTTTTTATTGACGACTGTTTATTACTCTTGACTACAATTATAATAGATTTTAGCCTAAAACTTAGTGATCGGTAAAATTTTTTTAAGTGGTATCAGTACTTTGTGATCTTATCTTGAGATTTTAAACAAGTATATTCACGACAAAACAGTATAATTGTTGTTCATCTTGCCTAAGAATTGTGTGAAACCATGTTATGCCGTCTGCGCCGCTCATATGTTAATGCGAGCATTCGGCATTCCGACTCTCTAGTGTAGGGGATACTAGGTATAACGCCTTACGTTATAATAAGCTTATTGTTAGCTTTTATCAAATATATTTACATGGTAGTTATTATTTCCTCTTCCGAGTTGCCTGTTACTTGGTATGAAGCGCCCGTACGCTGTTGTTGCGAAAAGAAAATTTAAGTATAAATTTTGTGAGGACTTTTAAGCTATTGTAAATTTTACAGAAAATTAAATAAAAATGTTGTGAAAATAAATTATAAAAAAGTGATATAAACAGTGAATGTAGTCTTTTATTTTTTTCCCTTAATAGTTATGTCTACATGCCTATAATAGATTATTCAATTGCAAGAGTAAATAATTATGGTAAACTTGATATTAATAAAGGTCAGTCCATAGACATATGAAAAATAACATATCTATGGGTCAATGAGATTTGTTTTTGTCATTGTTTTTCTACTAAAATTAGCATAAACAAACGGCCTATAATCGTATAACTTCCCGCACAAGAAAACTATAAGCACTTATATTTTATTTAGTACTTTTTGTTGAAACGCCTTAACTCTACGATGTCCGCGATTTAAAAAAAATACACAATCTTTCTGACGTAAAAACCGCTAGATTGATTTAGTTTAGCTAATTTCACAGTTTAATGGTACACGGCATTTTGCTTTAGGATAATGCCGTCTGTGTTGTCCCGCAAAAACTTGTTTTCAGAGCAATTTTCGAGTAGTTGTAACCATAGATTTAGTATTCCATATACTAAATCTATGGTTGTAACAGAATCTAAAGAAATTAACATTACAATAACTTACTAACGTAATTTATGTTAAGAAAAATACTTAGTATCTTCTGCATAACGAATAGTATAGGATAAGATAGTGTATACGCTCCTATAATAAGATTCAAGTTGATATTCAAAATTTTGCCGCTTACTAGGGTCATAAGGATATTGAAACAAAAAAGTTTCTGCGTTATTGGATGACAAAAATCTATGGTGACCCGTTTAAAGGTCGTTTTGATCTATGATATTTGAAACAAATAATGTAAATGATAAATGTGTACAAATGCCTATTTAAAAAGTGCTAACCCTAAAGTTTCTTGTCTTCTCGGAAGAATATGCCTTCCAAACGAGTAGTAGTATTTATTCAATGTGACAATTGTTAAGTGTAATTTGCTTACTTATGAAATAAAGATATATTTGAATTTAAATTAGTTTAATTTAATTTAATTTAATTCTATTATTAACTTAAGCAATGTAGGCTTATGCAATTGTACCTACTGTGGCTCCAACTGAAAACCTGCGTTACGGCAGTCGAGCTGTGACATATCCTGAGTTGGAACCATGTCGGCTTATAATTTAATGTTAATCAAAACTTTCTTCTATATGTGTAAGTCTTAACAAGGTCAATAAATGTTTCTTTTCTTTCTTTCTTTACCGAAATTGATCAACTGAAACCTTAAGTTATACCCAATGATTACAATAGCATACTTCTATAATGGAAACAGAGAAAATTGAAAATTCAACACGAGACTAATATTATTTAAGACATATATAACAATTGACCAATAACCCATTCTATTTGAATGCCCTATGAAGACAGTTGCAACATCTACAATATATCTTTGTTTGTATCGCCAACTTTAAGAAATTACCAAGGAGAGAAACATTACTGACCTCTGTAGACAACTAATATGGTAAACATGTGATAAAAGGAAAACCTTGTTGTCGAACCAGTATGTGCGGCCATACATTTACACCGTCTCGTCACCTACGATAGAATGGCCTATTCCACTAGTCTCTACCAGCTGCCCCCCCCCCCCCCCCAGCGTTTCAGCGTGTAACAATAAGAACTCGTTAATAAAGCATATTAACGGGAATATGACATAGAATATAGATATAAAAAATCCTCGAAGATAATCTCTAGCAGGTATATATTCTTGTTATAAGACAAGACATTAGGAATGTTCGTAATTCTGAATTTCTTACAGCATGTAGAATAAGCTATAAATTGTATGCAGTCTCCTCCACTCTCTTTCCAATTCCTTTCCTCGCTCTGTGATGACTGATCGTGTTATACCGGTGATAGTGGACTATACACATGGGAGTTGTCAACTTTATGTCTCAAGGGTGGTAGTGCTCCTCAGATCTTTGTGATTAAAGCTCTGAGTGGCACTGCAATTGTTATGGATAGGCGTGTCGTTTATCACCAGGCGCACGACTTGTTCGTCTAGTCACTTTATCTCATAAAATTTAAAATATTTACCAATGACGTCACGCCCAGTACCGTTTGCACGACAAATTTTTTTAACTACATTTCAACATTCCTTTAGGGACTTAATTCACATACTTTTTTTTTGTGTTATATATCATTGTTTAAGCTGTAAACCTTCCTAAAATAAATAAAATAATAAAATACAGTAATATTTTTCTGTGCTGTCGATAGCTGACCATCTTCAGCTACGTGGAATGGATCCTAAAGTACAGCAGATAAGTACGTTGAATCCATGGCCAAGAATGTAGCTCGAAAGTCTGGCATTCTTTATAAGATGAGGCGTTGCTTCACACCGGGACAGTTTCTACAACTGTACCAAGAACTAGTCCGGTTATGAACGAAATATTGCTTCTATAACATAGAATTGCTAAATATTAACTGACCATTCCTGTAAAAAACCTGCTAGGAGACTTATCGGTGACTTGCATTTAGTAGAGGTAAAGTTGAGCCTTAAACAGCTGCTTATCTATATTTTTCCCACCGTTCGGTTATGGAGAGGAATTCCTTGCCTGCAGACTTGATCCGTGAATACGCATAATTTGAGCCTTTTTAAGGCGACATTGAATTGGCATTATATAAGTTGTGAGGATTTACTTGCAGTCTGGTGAAATGAGCTTTAACGCGCACATATAGACAAAAATTGGTCATAGCCCGCCACATAATCCCTCTGATTAGAGTCAGAGCTCATCAACAGCCCGTATAATGGGTTGGCAATGACGATGAACTAAAAGAGACAAAAGACTGTTTTATCCTCAATCTCCATGGTCCCGATTTCCAAAAATCAACTTTTGAATAAATGATTTAAACATCTGGAACATTTGTCTTCTAGTTCAGGTTCAATATTCTCTCAGGTCAGAAATCAGACGATTTATTTATCTGGAGTGAATAACAGATCTCTAAATACTGTAAACATCGTGTTCTCAATAAAACCGAATAAACAAAATTACTTACAGCAACAATGTTTTGTTTGAACTTCCATTTTCTATGAATTTTGTTCAGTTTTATGAGCAAATGTTTATTGTTCGTCTCGTCACTTGGTATTATAAATATATATATATATATATATACATGTATGTATGTATGGTCGTTACTCTCTTGTTTGTTTACGACCACTGTGAAATGCGAGTGAGCGTAGCTTATCTTTAAGTATAAGAACGTGTTGTTTTGTTGCAACAGTGCAACATCCATTACACAGACAATCTTTGACAGTTGAAAATCTATTTTTGTTTAAAGACTACCTAGTAAATATCGCAGAAAACTTGTTCATATATGTTTACCTTAGAGGATGGAAAAATGTTTACGCCTTAGAATAATAAGTTTACGCAGATTAAATTAGAGCGTGTCTGAAACGATTATAATAAATGGAGTTGAGTAGCCGTTAAGCAACTCACCTGTTGTATGCAATAAGACCAAACAAAGATTTGTATATATATTACTTTAAATTATTAGTTTGTTAAATCTGTAAAAAAGCTACTTCAAAAAGTTTGCTAAGCTGCTTAGCTTTGCTAAAGAGTCCGGTATAGTGTATTTATTGTACTAAGAGAAGTTTACCAAGTTTTATTTATTGTAATGAAAGCTTAAAAAAAAAGAACAACGGCAGATACCTATATCTCGAGTTTGGAGTCGTTTATCGTGGTCACATGGGGGACATGACATATTTAGTGCATTTTAAAAGATTTAGGGCGCGTCTGACATGCTCAGACATGCGACTGACGCGCTTTGTGAAATTGTACGAAAAATCTATCTCTAATAGTATATGCGCTGGGTGTACTACGTGAGCGCGAGTGCCGATTACGCGAATGACGATAGTGCGCAAATATATATAGTTTCGCAAATATATAGTTTCGCAAATCTGTCTTCGTGCTATCGTCATTCGCGCATTCAAGCTTTCGCGCAACTGACCATTCGCGCAAATGAACTATCGCGCATTTAAGCTTTCGCGCAACCGTCTTCGCACTATCGTCATTCGCGTAATCGGCATTCACACTCACGTAGTACACCCATTTGCGCTACAGTTGCGCGACCGCAGCGGCGCTTCTACAAACGCCAGATTTGATTGCGCCTTTACCCTAAAAATAAATATTAAACTTTTTAGTGCAATGTCGAATTGATGACAAATCATAATGTCAAATACATTAGAATGAAGCAGGTTTGCCAACCACTCGACATTGGCCATGGTCGCCATAGGTTTCTAATACGAAAGATGGTACTTTCTCATATTGTACTCCACAGCAGAACCTGCAGAAGCCTCTGAAATTACTAAGTGGTTAACTTGATAAGATAGCGGAATCTATACAGTGGACCGCCAATAAGGAAAAAGAAGAATAATGCAAACATCAATTTCAGTAAAAGTAAATTTGGATTTTAATAAAACTTGTACGTCACCAAACTTTTTTGTAATATAATTCTTATAAATAAATGATATACAAACAAAGCATTGACAATTTCCGTCAGACGCAATATACCAAGTTTACACAGATGGTATTAATGTTAATAGATAAATAAATACTTATTATACACAGCTCCTACGTTTCACGAAATAAATATACCTAGAGTGTCAAATAAACTTGTCAGTGTACTCAACCCTGTCAATACCTGCTTTTTGACTGTTTCAATTAATTTGTATCCTTGGTATAATAAAGTTACATGTGATGATATCTCAGAAGTGCTTGTACAAATAATACGAATTAGACGAAACAATTTATGTAAAATTTTATAACTTTCCTATTTAAGCATGAAAAAGTTATAGACTAAAATCGTTCATAGGATTAGGAATATTAGGAACCTATCTCCTGAAATTACTTAATAAAGGCCTCATGTGCGAAATTGTCATTTTGCAGATTTGGCCTTATTACACTAAAGGTGCGAATTAATTATTCCAACGTTCCATTTGAAAATACCATGAATATGTCACACATAAAATACATTTTTTTTCCATTTTTCACGTGTATTACTTGACGCATCTCATAAAAATGATTTCCTAGCCGAGAACGCGGAAAATTGAAAAAGTTACCACTCGACTGAGCGGCTCAATAACACCGCAAACTGTTATTTGCATACTCTCCTTCGGAATTTTAACTTTTGCTTTAAAAAGCGAACAAAAATTAAAAGTAAACAAGTTTTAAAAACTTAGAAAGTACTTACTTCATCTTCATCTAAAACAAAATTAAAAAAGATTACAAATTTATTAAAAATATCAGTAATTCTTCATAATTTCGACGGCACTATATGTCGCGGACGAGACTTGGCCACGCTGATCACGCTACAACTCCAAGTAGCCGCTTTGTTAAACTGTGCATGGGATATGTTTGCCATCGTGGTGACTGGATTTGCCAATATCAATACTGTCGCCATCAATTAGAATAAAAAAACTGAGATATAATTTTTAAAAAACGAATCGTGATGCATATCAATTATTATTCCTTTAATAGTTATTTAAAACACAAAATTTATTTGATTTTTAATACCAAATATCAACTTTATTTGGAAATTTAAAAAAATGTATAAACTCAAACGGTAAAAGATAAAAATAATATAACTAAGTTTTCTTTTGTGCACATAATGCATAATTAATTCTGGTGTGGTTCCATGAGTAGTAAGCACATTATAGTTTGCGTCTGCTACTTATAGATCAACAACATCCGAAGAACCACATTACAAAAATATGTGTTATATGTAGGTATATTGTATCATTTAAAAATTATATGCTTATGCTTATACACATCTCCTCCATGGTGACTACTCTTTGTTGTCTGAAACAGGTATGGTAAATATAATAAAAATCCTCCTGTACACTATCTAATTCAACAAAATAGTCATACTTAAAAAAGAATAATGCGAAAGAAAGCAGCTAACAACTAACAGTGAAAATAATTCGGATATAAGAGCACAAGTCTTAAGTTAAGAATGAACTGGCTATAAAAGAAATCATTTTAACACTGTAATATGTAATAGAAAATATTTTCAATCCACTGTAGTGACACAATTCAATATTTTCTTATCGACGCACTTAGTTCTGTACTATTTAAATTCTACAAAGTTATGTGTACCAGTAATAGGCGTATGTAGAAGAACAATTCCTCTTACCATAACCTTTTTCTACAAAACTATATTTATCCTATTGACGTACCTTTCTGAATAAATGAATTTCGTTTTATTACATTCTTCGAAACTGTCGCAAATGAAATTACGCCTCTTCATATTACTTTTTTTGTAACAAAACTGACACTAAATAAAATACGCAAAATATACTTAGTAACAATAGCGACACAAATCGAAGCAATACTCTTTTGAAACAAAAATCAACTTCATGCATTTTTAAAATCAACTTGTCAGTTTCTAAAATTGATGTTATTTTATCTACCATTTTTCCGATTCTTTACCCAAACACATGCAAATTTTGACATTTCGTCTGTACGTTCATTTTATTGAGTTCATGATGTTTTTTTACTATCATGATATTCATTTTTTTTGCAAAAAATATAGTTTCGTCTTTATTTTGAAAGTCTCTACATTATACACCATGATTATTTTACCATAGTACAGTAACATATGAATTAAAATATATTTGTATTTAGGTACCGTTAATTAAATTTTGCAATAATTTAATCAAGTTATTCCAAAAACGTATCCATAAGAAATTCAAGATAAAAAGGTACGACGAAAATTATTTCAGTCGGTTAAACGTATAAGTACAAAATTTTGAGTTTGTATGTGAAAAGACAGACGTAAAGTTTTTGAAGGGGTTGTTCCTAGATCTTTATTAAAAAATATTCAAATTATGATATTCTAATTTATTGACACACAGTGAAGTGTTGAAATCGCTTCATTGTTAGAGTAGGTAGCATTGCTAAAACGATCGACATTAAGTGTTTCCCTTATCTGATCTAAATAACTTCGTCTCGGTTTTCCTCAGCCGCTCTTTTCTTCGATCTTCCAGAAGATTTTATAGATCATTTTATAGAAATAAAGCTTCTAAAAAACATCATAACGTATCAGATGCCTAAACATCTTTTCTCCTTTTATTCTTTGATGTCGTTAATATGCTTCTCTTTTCCTGCACAATTTTTATTACCACCACATTGTTTTTTAATTATGTATTTAAAATTAATAACGAGATTTCATTTAGAGAACAAGTGACATTTTTTTTACAATTTTATTTTAAAAAGCTTTTGCATTTTCCTTCAGAAATCGAATGCACGCAAAGACTTCAATCTACTACATAGATTTAGAACTCCTTGTGAAAGAGTTCATCTAGGGAAGTACTGCCATCTTACCTATTTGTGCCGCGAAGCAGAAATGTGAGCATTACTGCGTCCGGGTTTGGAAGGGTAAGTGTGCTGGTGAAATTGCAGGCACATGGAACTTGTCAACTTATGCCTCAAGGTGACGGGCGCAGTGGCAGTGCCCCGAAGATCTTTGCGATGTAAAGCTCTGAATGGATAGGAATGTCACTTACCACTAGGCGCACGACTTGTTCGTCCCGTCACATGGAATTATGAAAAGAAAATATCGTTGGATACATGTTCATAAATTCATGAATATTCATAATGTATAACTAGTTTAGACATGAGTTACTATTTATTAGTGTTGCAAGCTAAAGCAATCTGCCAACGTCCTTCAAGGCAGACAGGGACGTATCGGCGCGCCACACGTAGAAATGCTACCTCTCTACTGTAACCTCACACTGCTTATTAGTACTAAATTGAGTTATTTAAGTTTTTATAAAGTACTTAAGGATCTAAACTAAACTACGCTTAAAACTATAGCCAGCTTAACAATTTAATTTAGTAATAAAACGAAAAAAAAACAACAAGTAAAATATATATATATATATATATGTAAGTAAAAACATTAATTACAAAAACTAATCTAATAAAAAGTAAACTAATATACCCCATTCCGGAGCGATAGGAACGCATAGAATTAAAGTTATTTACTTCATATACTCCGCTAAGGTCCGGCAATTCTGATATTCTGATCATAAAGTAATTGCTCTACGCTATGAAACACCAACGACACAGTTTACTGTAAACGTATATTTAATTATAGTAAAATATGTAAAATAATTATAACAAACACCGATAAAACCATCTACAAAATGGGATATATTTCCGTTTCTGAAGAGTTTGTAGGAGATAAATTATCACTTATGGTAATTGTATTTATATAAGCAATGGTAACTACAGGCTTCAGTGCATGAGTTTCATGAAAATGTCTTCCAAGTTTGCGAAAAGTCTTATTTTCTTTGGATTTATTTTCTAACCAGCTTGTACGCATGTCGTTCGTCGTTAGTGCCGTTCCCTGAATAAAATTGGAAACAAATGGGGTACTAATCTTGTTTTTAAACAAGTTGAAATTCTTGCGTTGCCTTTCTATAATCTTTGTAGTACCTTCAACATTAATTTTGTGTTTTTGAGATAAAAATGATGAATTATTTCCTTTTGGAAACTCTACGTTTACATTTACGTTTACCTCCTTTTTAACTCTAAACGTGGATGTAGTAGGTGTTAAATTGTATTTTATTTCATTATTGTTGCTAAACGACCAAGTTTTCGGTTTATTTACGTTTGTTTCTATTGGTGTAACTTTAACAATCGTCATATTAGGAGTAGAGGACCTCACTAAAGTTTCTCTGAGATCTTTTCTTAAAAAAATCATTTTAAAGCCATCGATAGTCGTCGTGCTGTCAACCGTTGTATTCTCGAAGTCACCGGTGATATCACTTTCATCTGTTATATTGCTTATTTTATGATGATTGATAGTATTATTATTATTTAGTTCATGATCCGAATGTAGCAATCTCGTTTTGACATTTATATTCAAGTCAGTCATAATTTTACCTAAAATAGGTGAGCTTTTCAGTATTTTTTTATTTTCTCCTTTGTTAGTTTTAAAATCATCATTATTCGAACCATTTGAAAAACTCATCAAATTCGCTGAACGTGGCAAAGCATGTGGCACAACAAGTGGCAAAAAATGGAGTAAGAAATCTGATGTCACCTGCGACACACCTCTAGCGAGGTCAGATTTATCGCGCTGGTAAAATGATTGTGAATAGATTTTTCGATAACTATCCACATTTTGTAAAAATTTATCTACATTAAGTACTTCGGGCGGTGTAGTTATTTCACTAATATTACCATTTTGCGTTAAGTTGTTATGGTGAGTATAAAAATCCTTTGTATTAACGGTCTCAATAGCATCAGTTTCTTCATTGGCGAGCATTGTTACATTATTAACTAGCCCAGTTGAGTCAATATTTGATTTATGTTGTGTGGTGTATGTAGGAAGGCTATAAGAAATTGTACTTGCATCGCTATCTGTTGTCAAGAGTGACTTATGAAGTTCATTGAGTGGGGAACCATTTATCTTAATTGTTGCTTCGTTACGCACGTAACCATTTTCTTTAAAAATCGAGGCAGACATTTTACTAGCTTGATAGTAATAGTCTATGTCGTTACTTGAGTAACTCGGTTCAACAAGTAAATCATCAAGTACAGATTTGTTGTGAAATTGAACGTAATATTTTAGTTTCTCAATTTCAGTCTTTTTACTTAATTTAATTTTGGAACTCTTGGGTTGTTTCGAATACCCATTGGTAGCTAGTTTAATTTCGATTCTCGGTTCATCTTCATCACATACAACTTTGAGTAAAATTACATTTTTATCTGTTAATCCATACCCAGCGTCATCAACAGACCTTCTAAATCCTTTCACTAAAATAAAATATACACAATGAATATTAAAAAGAATGGACCGTGACAGTCGTAACGTAACTTTACCTATGATAGGCATTTTATGGATCGTCTGTGTCTAACTTACCTCAGAAATAACTAACTTTTGGTACCGTTACATTACAAGTGAACAACATTTCAAAATTAAATATAAAATGGCTTTGATAAAAAAAAAACAAATTGCTGCGGCGTATTTGAATCACGCTTGCTGGAAAGATCTCATTTAAAAAAACTTCTTCTAAACTAAAATGGACATACTCATTCGCATTCACCGATAACTTCCCATAACAGATAAACACACTCACACGCACTCATACGACACCTCTCACACACAAACATACCCAGAGAGACATACACACACAAACACATACACGCACACGTACAAGTGCCACTAATACATACCTTTTTTTATTTGATATTGTTTATAATATGTTTTTCTTTTAATTGCTATACCTCGTGTATGTTCCGTTCTAGATATCAGGAAAAGGGGGAATGGCTGAAAACCAGTGTTGAGCAAGGCTTACGGAGATGAACCAATAAAAAGCTGAGCCATTGCCTTTTGCATCAAACCTCTATATACTATTTTTATACATTATGTTTTTGTATCGTTATTGACGCAATAAATCTTTTTATCGTTATTATTATTATTACATTATATCAATTACTATTGTTATAATTAATTGCAAATGCATGTCTACCAGTTGGAAAAATATATCGCCGCTGTATTCTCACTTCTAATGAATAGATTACCTGCTGGGTGAACAGGTGGTAGTATCCTTTGTATTTTGTCACCGAGTTCCATTAAGGTATGTTCTATTGGCTTCTCTGAGATCCCAGTGTTTGTGTATGTTACGTCATATGGCATAGGAGATATCATGTATCGCAAAACAGTAGACTGTGTTGTAGATGGTAGTTCAGGAATCTGAAGCGTTAGTACTAAAAAGCATCAAATGTGTGCATAAAAAAGTACTTTACAGGGATAGCATAACATTGTGGCCATCATGAAATAAATAAATGAAAAAAATATATATTTTGTGTCTATATCAAGTACAAGAATAATTGGTTGTAAAAATTTTCAGGTAAGTTACACTCCTATTAAAATTTGACCAAACTCTCACTAGTTACAGTTTAGGTTAGGTAACACTTATTTTCCCGATATTTTGGAACAGTTACACGTTCCATGGTCATGACTTGACTGACGAAACTGACAAGAAGTCAAAACGTGGTAACGAACTAGTTATAATACCAACAATCAACCTATAAAATTCTACCGCGATTTTCTTTCAACATGTTTGAGCTTGTATGTTAGGCAGATTGAAGCTTCAAAATTTGGTTCTTCAAAAATTCAAAAACTATTTTAATTAAGTACGCAGTTTAAGTCAAACTCGAAGCTTTTGTACATCAGTTTTCTACCGGTGTAAAACTATGAATTCAAGTTGTATCGCTTATACACCACAACACGATTCGTATTCAACAACTAGCTACATTTAAAAATATATGGCAACTATGTTCTATACAAAAACTACGTCTCTCAGAAAACTCTATTCTTACATAACGTGACCTTACTGTTTTTGTTAACTCATCCTTAAAGTTTTCTTTTCTTCTGTGACCTCTTATATTAACTTGGGCAGCTATACGTCCTCCTGCACGCTTGTTCTTATCAGTAGTTTCAGTAGTAGTAGTTTTAGAATTAGTAGTAGTTTTAGTAGCAGCAGTTTTAAGAGCAATTATAGTTTCAGAAGTAGGAGAAGTTTGGAAAACAGTAGTAGTTACAGTAGATGATACATGTGTATCATTAAGTGGTTGCAGTTTCTTGGGTGGATCTATTGTCGTCATTAAATACGCGAACGAAGCAAATAGACCTACCAGCACTAATGAATACGTCATAACAAAAACACGTCCAATCGGCATTATGCGTAAAATTTATAATAAATAGAAACAAAACTCAGAAATATTATTATTTCCTTTATGGTAGCCACTAGACTTGTGCCTTTGTCAGTTTTATAAGAATAAAATTAGAGGATGGAAAAAAAGAATAATATAAAAATTATGGCGATCATCGCCAGAGTGTCAGTTTTAATCTTAGAGGATGGAAAAAAATATTTCCATAGTCTAAGGTTTTAATTATTAAAAAAGGTGTAAGAAATGTCAAGTCATTTTTTTTTTGTTTCTGACATTTCGCGGTTTGCATTTGTGCCACTATAAAACGGGGAAACTTATTCAAGGAAAACAATGGAAAGGGAAAATAATTTGGAAAAAAGGATCAGGGAAGTGCGATAAAGGTTAAATAGGAATACAAACATATAAAATATAATTTAAAGCATTCTTGCCCTACAATCATTCTATGGTCTAACCTTCTTTTTTTTCCATCCTCTAAGGTCTAACCCTTAAGTCTATGGTCTAACCCTGAGCATAATCGGCTCAGAGGATGGAAATAGTCTAAGATAATCCTTAGAGGTGGATAAAAATAAATAATCGGAGACGCCATGCATAGGCAGTCCCCTCTGTCAAAATACAAGTAAAGAAATACCACCGCACAATATAAACTACTTTTTAATCAATTTTTTTTCATCCACTATCTCTATTGCTTATGTATATATATCTCGTAGTTATTCGCCAAGTCCTTTTTTCACTCTTTCTTCATCTTCTTATTCCCGTTTTAAAATTACATTTTGTAATATACAGGATGGCCGGGATAGTGACGTCCAAAAAAATATAAAGGCCTCACATTGTGGGGTATCCGTATCACCCCCACGTATGTCCCGCAATTTTTCGTACTTTTCGAGTTATGATTTTTTAATGGATTTTTTGAAATTTTCAACCGGATCGGCTCTACATTTTTTTTTTTTCAATGTGTACAACAATTTTTTTTTTTGTAACTCAATCTTTATTCAATTATACTTTAACGCACAAAATAATCGGTTTCGTAACATCAAAGGAAGCTAAGAAAGTTTTGACTGAAAGTGGAAACTTCTATAAAATCATAAATAATCATATTGATTGTTCTGAGCTGGTATCCAAAATTAAATATATAGTACCCGTTCGTACACTTAGATATAAAGTCCTTTTCTCACGCCCATTTTGCCATACCAATGTCGGCAAACGCTCTCACATTTATAGGATGTGTTGCAATTATAATTATTGTTTCCAGGGCGTGGATATATTTAGTACCTCTTTGTATAGGTATAAGCGTGAAGTTTCTGTCGTAGTGAATAGTGACTCCTTCTTATTTCTATGGTATCTATAATTATTATGTATGTACGTAACTGATTTGATATGTATTGTTATGTATGTGTATATGTATATATGAACACAATTTAAGTATTTGGCTATATATAACATGTAATTTTTATATATTATTTATTTTATTTTATTTCTCCCTATATGTGTAAATAAAATTTTTCAAATATAATTCCATCAAAACTACGCGCATGTGTCATGCGAGTCATAGTATCTTAATTGTCACACATTTGTGGAACACGTCGTTGGTTCATATTTATTTAATCTTGCTTGTTCAATATTGTTATTTGGTTAGTATGTAACTGTTTGTGTTTTTCTGATAAATAGATAATATAAAAATAAAAAAAATAAAACTTCGCGTTCGAGGGAGAGAGTTTTTGCTAAAATCAGCCTTCAAAAGTACTGATGTCGAAAATTCCTACGATAGTAATTTGATTAAAAAAATAAATTATTGCCTATTTTATCATTCCTAAGGCTAATGATGGTAGAAAGTGTATAAACTAACAAAATAACAACTTAATAGCTTTTAGTATTTACTTAGATTATTTAACTTTTTTTGAACTTTTTCTTATTTCTTTAATTGAGTTAATAAAACACAGTTTATCGTGATGAAAATACATTTATTTTTTATAAACAAATTTATTTTCACCATCAACCTTTTATAGGTTTTCAAAATGACGGTCTCCAACAGAAATGCACATCCTACACCTACGCAAGAAATTGTGTTTTAATCTTCGAAAAGCTTGTCTGTTGCCTTTTGCAGCACGTTCGGTTTCTTGGATTTTCTCCCTCAGTTCTTGTTCATTCGAACATTCGCGGGCGTATGTTATTGCTTTGTAAAAACACCCAAACCAAAAAGTCGATGGGGTTGAGGTTAGGTGAGCGTGGAGGCCACCTAATTGGTTCGTTTCGTCCGATGCATCTGTTCGGGTACGTTTGGTTTAAATAATTTCGCACTTGTGCTGCGTAGTGACATAGTGCGCCGTCATTTTGAAACACCATGGTTCGTAGAGTTTCAAGATTAACGTCTTCCATCAACAGTGGTAGATCGTTTTCCAAAAAACTTTTGTAACAAATTTTGTATATTTCTGCATTAAGGTTTGACCGCAATTCAAACGGTCCAATTAATTCTCCATTGAGGATACCAAACCACATGTTCACACTAAAACGATGTTGAAAAGTTGAAGGTCTCGCCGCGTATGAATTTTCAACCGCCCATGAGTGGTAAATATCCAGTTCGCTCAAATCGTGACTCATCAGTACACAAAATTTTATTAAAAATTGGTGATTATCTCGCTGTTTTCGAAACATAATTCAGCAAAAATCAATTGATAATCTGTAGGTTGCAGGGTCCGCGAGCGTAGTGGTAGAGATAAAACGACGACACAAGTAGCAGTGAACACAAGGTGAGAACGACTGTAGCGATTCTTGTTTGCATTGAATGCCGTTGCTCATTGTTCCTCTCGCTTACACCGGTTCTAGCTATAAAGAGTGAGAGAGACATCAATATTCTTTACCTGATCCATTGTTACTCCAGGCAAAAAAAAATAACGTGCAACAAAATTTCCGAGAACAGGTTGCAAAAATCATTTAGGATAAAATTAAATAAAATTTAAAATGTCCAGATTAGGTTTTCTACAGTTATTATTTTATACACTTTCTACCATAATTAGCCTTAGGAAAGATAAAATAGGCAATAATTTATTTTTTTAATCAAATTACTGTCGTAGGAATTTCAGACCTCAGTACTTTTGAAGGCTGATTACAGCAAGTAAAGGTCTTTAAATTAAGTACTACTTTTTTTGTAATAATATGAAATTTTAGAATGTAGCACAGTTTTTAAAGTTACCCAGGAACTATGGACTTGCCGGTATAGATTTTTAATTCAACGTTAAAAATTCAAGTCTGACTCTCTCGAACGCGAATTTTCCACTTTGAGGCAAAGCTTACGAAAGTTTTGACTCAAAGTGGAAAATTGGCGTGTAGAAGCTACGAAGCTTCTATTTATGTTACGAAGCCGATTATTTTGTGCGTTAAAGTACAAAATTCATAAAGATTGTTGTACCAATTGCAAAAAAAAATTAGAGCCTACCCGGTTGAAAATTTCAAAAAATCCATAAAAAAATCATAATTCGAAACCTATGAAAAATCGTGGAATATATGTATATTATAGGTGTGATTCGGATATCCCTCAATCAAGTGTGACACACCAAAATTTTTTTCTATCCCCCTGTCACCCTGTATAAGATTTCCCGTTTTGAAAACAAGTCAAATAAACCTTGCAAGTGCGAAAAGCCTAATAAAAAAAATAAATAGGAACGCTAACCGCGAAAAAGCCAGAAAAAGTAAAAAAACTAGGTGCTCTGTGATACCTTAGAGGATGGAAAAAATAAAGGAATGTGATACCAATCTTAAAGCTCTTGAGGCATGAAATTTTTTACTTACTTCTTGTATTTTTTCATAGCTTTGTGTGGTTTGTTCACATTGTTTTGTTACCTTATGACTTTGGTGGACCCGACACTCCTTAAAAATGGAGATAAAATTACGAAAGAGGACTATACTGGAATGATTATTCCTGCTAATACCAATAATGAGAACAAGATAATGCTGGTAATTTTCACTCCTTCTTATATACGAGAATTATTATAGTGTTAAAAAGTATGTTCTCCATAACAAAAGGGGGCCCATAATTCTAATTTTCCTTATTTCCAAATCGATATATCGCACCCAAGGTGTAATCATTGTTAAAAATTCCACAAAAGAAATTAGTCATTAACTTTTTTTATGCTTATATGGGGTTATTCACTTATACATAATATATACAGCAGTAGAGCTCCTTGTGAACGGGTTCGTCCAGGGAAGTACTTACTGCCACCTTACCTATTTCTGCCGCCAAACAGTAATGTTAACATTACTGCATTCTAATTTTGAAGAGTAAGCGCCCAGTTACACGACGCGAAAGTTTTCGCGCGGCCGCCCAGTTACCGCGCTTGCAATCTGAATTCTATTTACTAGGCAACAATATTTAAATCCCTCGGAATAATATAACCGCGCGGTCGCCTCCCGGCCGCCGCGTGGACCAAAGACTCATTTAAGTTAAAACGTAAAAGCTAAATAAATAGAGCGCATTTTGCTATGACAGTTAAATGTACGCAGTTATGGCCACCCGGTCTCCGTGAGCGCTATAAAATTCGTGTCCAATAAACGCGCACTGAGGGTACTGGTGAAATTACCGGCACATGGGACTTGTCAACTTTTGTCTCAGCGTGACGGGCGCAGTGGCAGTGCCCCAGAGATCTTTGCGGTTTAAAGCTCTAAATGGCACTGCAACTGTTGTGGCGTGTTACTTAACACCAGACGCACGACTTGTTCGTTCTGTAACTTGTTATTACAAAAAATATATACATAATTTGTTTCATGTAGTTCGTTCTATTTTTATGACTTTCCTGTGATAAAAACACGTATAAGCTTAAGTGGCTTTATTATACAAAGGATACGACATAGTTTCTTCATCCCCCTATAAAACAAAATCAGCTAATGAGAAAGTAATTTTTTCCAACAATACTCCCATATAATGCCATAGCCATTTTACTCACAAAGCTACAACTCAGTATTCGGCGCTTTGATATGATATCGGTGATTTGATGATGACATAATTATACTAATTTAACATTGACTTACAAATTCAACGTAATTTAATAAAATATTTGATTCACATTTGGTGTATCTATTTCTACTATACAACAACACAAATACATTAGTTAAGAAAATGTGACTGGTATCAACATGACCTCGCTTGACTATAGATCTGGGTAGCAGCACGTCCACGGCACGACCGTTTCCTCGTGCTCCTATTGGGTGCTCCTACGGGTAGGAGTACGAGGACTAATATGTCCTTATTACACTGGTAGGACCAGTATAAAGAAATCCTCGCGCAGGAGCGCGATCAGCTAATACACTTACCTGTAACCACGTCTAATTCTCCAGAACGTTAGGTTTAACTGCCTCAGGTTAGAGTCCCGGACCAGGAGAAATATTTGTATGGCCTACATTTATTACTCTCCTTAGTTTGGATGTAATTTGTGGTTGTCTATGTGTGTGTCCATGACATCCGCGACACAGGGTTTCCTTAGTGCGGGGCTATATTGAGTGTGTGCGTTATTATATTATTATTTACTTTATTCTTCTCAGCTTTTTTTATAATTATTATTATGAATTACCTCTGAATGTCCTTAGTTTAATATCCAGGCTAGTAAGTCCAGGCGCCCATTGCCGGGACGGTACGGCTAGGGATCCTTCGGCATCCCTACATGCAAGCGCAAACTGTCGGCAAATATGCAGCGGTACCCTTAGGCCCGGTGCCTACTGACAGGACAGCTCGGCTGGGGATCCTTCGGCATCCCTACATGCAAGCTCACACTTCAACATTCCGCGATATCCTTAAACCGGACCCACATCATCACGCGTGCTGAACAAGCGAACAAATCGTGCACACCACGCGCCTCGGACGACAGTGGACGTGACAACCTCAGCGCGTGTACACGCATGTCGCGATCAAAATACGTACAGTTTGCGCGCAGGCATATATCGTTAAGCTGCCATCAGTCATTGTCACTTTATTGCGTTACAAGAAAGCGTACAGGAACTGTTAGGGGGCGTTCCTATTATGTCGTACAGTTTTATTTATCGTTGGGCGACTTTTTTTTTATTTTTTTATTTTTTTTTTTGTCGTCGCGTCTATTCACATATCACGACTATCAGTAGTGACTGCGTCGTGGACGTTTATTTTATCGTTAAACGACTGTCGTCTCTAGCTATTCCCACTAGATCGTGACGACAATTTATCAGTTCGCGGCAGCCGCCTTGTCGTTTGCACAACAGAGTCGTTTGGAGCAAGATCATGATCAAGATGAAGCAAGATCGATTACAGACAAATTCCGACACTATTTTAGCTTACTAAACAAATAATGAAACGTAATGCAGGTAGTTTCTCAGGGTTCCGTACTCTCTGCAACTCTCTTTCTGCTGCATATCAATTATACGAGTACGTTAATTCCAGGTACCTTTGCGTATGCTGATGACAACGCAGTTGTAGATAGGTACTTGACCAATGCAAGGGTCAGTGGAGAGGAAATCCAGTCTTGTCGAGAATCATGGTTAGCCGTTTGGATTTGACACTCAAGGCAGTTTCCGATTGGGGCGATGCCAATCTTGTCAAATTTACTGCTACCAAAACCCAGGCGTGTCTATTCTCCATAAAACGGGAGTCCCTTTGAGCTGACTACGACTTTTCGGGATATATCTATAAGCCGACTGTCTCCAGCTACTTGAAATGGACCTGTCGTCGAATTTGAACTTCGGTAGATACATTGAATCCATGGCCAATAAAGCAGCAAGGAATCTTGGCATCATTTCCAGGGTGAGACGTTGCTTTACACCCGGACAGTTACTTCAGCTGTACCAAATAGAAGACCGGTCGTGCATGAAGTAACTGGCCACTTTAGATTCAATTGACAACCGTGTCAAGAAGCTTATAGGTGACTCGGAATTAGTGGAGGGAAAGCTGCAGAGCCTTGAACACCGACGTAAAGTTTCCTGCTTATCGGTATTTTACAGAATAGATCACGGATAGTGTGCGATGGAATTACACGATATAATTCCGCCTTCCCCTTTCCATCACCGTGGGACTAGGCGTAGGCTTGGGTTCCACCCCTATGTTGTGGATACTCCAAAGATTCGCACGAAGCGTTAGACTTCCACATTTATATGGCGAACGGTTATAGAGTAGAATTCCCTGCCTGCTGCTTGTTCTCCGAACGTTATAAGTTGGGTCTTGTCAAGACGAGAGTGAATAGGCATTATTTAGGTGTGCATGTTCCATCGTCGACCTCATCGTCACTTTCCATCGGGTGCGATGGAGATCAAATGCGCACTTTATATTTCATAAAAAAGAAGTTTCAAAATATGTTCTTAATGTTTTTATTCATAGCTACATTTTATTTAGCTTTCGTCATGTCATATCGCCGTGAGCATTCGCGTGTGTACTCTGGATTTTACCGATGGGAGGAGTCTTTCACAATGAGAGGACTAGAGTTGTAGTTCCCACGCAGGCCCAATGCGGATTTTGGTATTCGCACACGCCATTAAATAGTTTTGCAGATGTGTGCAAGTTCCCTCACGATGTTTTTCTTCACCGAAAAGTTCATGGTAAATTTCAAATTCAATTTCGCACATAAATTCCAAAAAACTCAGAGGTGCAAATCCGGATTCGAACCCATGACTCTCTACTTGAGAGGTGGTAAGTCAAACCGCTAGGCTACCAAGGCTATGAATTATTATAGCAATTAAATCATATAGGTACCATAAAAAAGGTGTTTTATACATTATAACGATTTTTTGAAAAGATTTTTATGAGACCGATTAAAGAGCATACCTACTATCTGATCCGTAGATTGATTCAGAGGCATAAGATCCATTACGATCCAAAAAGATAAGAAAATGTGGATTAGGCATGCTGAAGCATTCCGTGGCGACTTCGTGCTCGTGGCTGGCGTCTCTTGAGATCTCTGCCCCGCATACCCGCATAGTAGTACTCAGTGTCCCGAAGCTTTTCAAAGCACCCCGAAGTCTGCCAAAGCATCCCTAAGGCAGCCGAGGCTTTGTTTTTATAGCTACGACTATATCATTAAAATTTCAAAGGTAATGATGACATATATTACATATATATATGACATATATATTGTAATATACTTTAAAGCTATGAAGCTTTAAAGTATATTACAATATCTTTCATTAACTAAAAATTCTCTACCGAGCCCCAAAACTTACTAACCCACTCATGGGACGGGTTACTAAGTTTGTCGTAACGATAAATGTAAAAGTCTGTGGAAGTGCCCCGAGGGCTGCCTAGGCATTCCAGAAACTGCCAGCTCGGTATCCCTAAATTTGCTTCAGCCACAGTGTAGCCAATTATCCACAGCCTGATTTTGTTAGCCCGTAGCTCGTAGCCATTATCATTAAAATTTTAGTAGAACAGCTGGGACAAAAAAGTCTTAGTAGTTCTATAGTAGAACTACTTAATCGAACTAGTCGGAAGAATTCGTCACCTAAAAATGAGATGAATCGTCGTGCATCAATGTGAAATGTCGTCCGGTCAGACTCCGCCGGAACTTATCATTTAGTTTTTTTTCAGCCTCTGGATGTTTATATAGACTTTAAAGCTTACCAAGCCAATACGAATAATAGCAACATTTAATACACTTTTAAGCATGATATACATAAATGCTGGTCTTTTAGAAGAACTCACCTAAATAATACGACTGTAACAATTTTAGTAAGATAAAAATATACATATGGGAACATTAAATTACGTGTTTTAATAAAATCAAAGACTTTCTCGTATCGTAACAACAAAACATTGTATTACATAATTATGTATGCATGTACTTATATAATAGGTAATTATAAATAATTACATTAGACTCAAAGTAGATGCCTGGTGATAATTCAACTAAAGTAAATAATAAATTGAAACAGTAATAGAAATAGAAATACAGACTGACTGAAATAAAAAGAAAATTAAAAAACCCGAATGTAAATCAAGATTAATGTAGTATTTACCTGGAACAGTTTGAAATGTGAATTGTCTCTAATGTTTTCTTATTTTAACGTTGTGTGTCGTAATTATTGAAAAGATTATTTTCGCGAAATATGTGGTTTTTTGTTTTTGTATTTTGTCTGGTGAGATCATCAATATCTTGTAGAGTTTAGCCAATGGAAAAAAAACATTGTAGGTTGCGATCACCAAAACACTTTCACTTGTATTTATTTGTCTTCGAACATACACAGTCATTAATCATCATATCAGTTGATAGGAAGTTCAGAGTTACATTCCTTTTCTTATTCTATTCCGCAACGCTACCAAGACTCTTCATTTCTCCAGAATATTCAATAAACGTCGGTGTACTAATTCCTTCATCGTCATTCTTCATTTGAACGTTGTTAAACCACAAAATGTCACCAAGTTCAATAATTTCCCCATTGTCTTCTTCAATTTCACTATTATCTTCTTTGAGCATTTCAATACCAAAATCTGCACCTTGCGATTTTACCAAATGCATGATTATTACCGGTAACAATTCTTTGTTTTTTGCCAAAATTTTCTTTATAATAGGAGCTTTATTTTGTAACGTTCTTGCAGGTTTGTCTGTTAGCTGGAAATAGGGAATTTAAAAATAAGTAACTACAAAACAAAACAATAAACCGACCAAAAATCGCAAAGTTTTGGAGGTGGCATAACTACATATTATTGATATACAGAACAAAATGAGTAGGTATAGAGTTTTTTAAGTAGTGAAACCGCAACAAACCGTCGCGAGAAGGATCGTTAGCAGAATAGAAATAAGAGGCACCGAACTTAAGTAGATACCTACCAAGCGAACACATTTTTATAAATAATGCTATTACATCTAACGTACAACAGTAAACACGGAACAACTTACGTAGAAACTGGAGCGCTTTTCTTTATCATATAGAAGAACAGTGGTAGTGGGATCAGGGGCAACCTTCCTGTACTCTAATATTTGGATGGTAAAATAAAAGAAAAAAATCCACATAAATGCGCTTAAATATATGCAAAAGATTATTTTCTTCCGAAATTCGGGATCAACCATAGTGCAATAAATAAATGTCTGTCGGATATTTTACGTAATTTCGTAACTAGATTATTATGTGTAAATAACTGCCTAGAATCTGAGTATCGTTTTAGCAAACTAAATAGGCGACATACATACATCGAGGACATAAATCACAATCGTTATAAAATTATTGACTGCGCAAAGATAACGAACAACCCGTATGTCAGTATCTATATACTCTTTGGACTGCAAGTAGTATGGCGCAAAGAGCATATAAAAATTCTTAGGCTTAACATTATACAGGGTGTAATCTTTAAGTATGCCCCTGTGACGATTCCATAAATATAAGAGATATCAAAAAGCTTTAAACTTATATCTAAAGTATGTCACCTGCTGAATAAATCGACATTAATAACTTTAAAAAAATAAAACTAGAAATACCCACAATTATAACGTTAAACACTTCCATATATTTAATATGACATTCGTAGGGATGCTTTAGTTGACCTACTTTAGGAGTTAACAATAAGTTTACAGATAATAAAACTAAACCTGTTCGTCCCGTCACTTCATATTATAAAAAAAGAACTGCTCATGAAGTAATAAAACTATCTTTCAATTGTTTAAAAATATAATGGCATAGTCAATTACTTGGTCAAGTGTGAGTGATCCATATAAATGAATAAAATTGATCATTTTTTTAGTGCTGATAGACTAATTCGTGTAAGAATCATTGTATGGGACGATAAAAATATTTTTTTTATATAAAAAATAAATGCGCATTTGACCTCCATCTCACCTGATGGAAAGTGAAGATGAGGTCGAGGATGTAGCATGCACACCTAAATAATGCCTATTCACTCTCGCCTTGAAAAGATACAAGTTATAGCGTTCGGGGAACAAGTCTGCAGGCAGGGAATTCCACTCCCTAGCCGCTCGTCATACGAATGTGGAAGCGAAACGCTTCGTGCGAATCCGGAGAATATCCACAACATAGGTTGGAACCCCCGCCCACGTCTAGTCTTCCGGTGATGATATCGTTTATATGCAGCAGAAAAAGGGTTGCGAACAGTACAGAACCCTGAGGAACTCATCATCAACGCATCTATCGCCCTATGTTCGGAAGAGTAGCCTTCTAAGACCACTCGAATCGAACGTTCACTCAAGAAATCCGAAATCCAATTGCAAAGGCAAAAATCGGGACAGTAGAAGTTAGTCAAATAGAATCCAATGTTTTTAATACGCAATCAAAGCTGAAAACATGAAGTCAATGCCGAAAATCATTTTAAATAAAAGTGTACTATATTAATAAGCTTAGACTATGGATACCATTTTTCTATCATCTAATATATGTGTAGGTGGTTTAAGTAAGCATACCAGAATCTGGTGACTTAGATAGATTTCAATTCGTCAACATCAACATAATGGGTAAAAATAGAAAAAAAATGTCGGTAGTAATAGTACCTATGTAGATATCGTTGACTATAGATAATTTAATATAATTACATATTTTAATTGAACAGAAATTGAACGTCTACTTTTTAAGATCTGTATGAATTTATGTATGAGCTAAGTAAGCACCATAAAGTATGGAAAACACCTCTTTATACTTTGGGCAAAGGTTCCACCATACAGCCTCTTCATATGTTGGTATATTTTCCTTGTTTTGATGAAAAAGGCGATAAGCACCTGTTTTCGTCTAAGTAGTTTATTTTCTGACATTTTTTAATAGTGAAACAAAACAACTTTCCATCCTCTAAGGTCCTACTGCACGGCACAAAACAATTAAATTTAAAATTGTCTATTTTTTTTTATTCAGAAGAAAGCAATTCCTTCCATCTCTTATTGCTCAGATGAATCGGATGATGAAAAGCTGCCATTATGTCTCTTCTTGTGCTTTCATTCCCTGCCTTGCCTTGCTAGTCTATTTAAAAGTAATAGGGGTTAAAGTATGAAATTGCCGATTTGTACTGAAAATCTAAATTGTTTATTTTTTAAATTTTAAAAAAATTTATTTAATCAAAATAGTTGCCATTATTATCTATACATTGCTG